CACCGCAGCCGAGTTTCTATCGTATTCGAATGGTGGGACACGATAAAAGGGGTGATTTTCTTGTCTAAACTTCTATATCCAGAGCTAACAACGAAACTATGCCGCTATGTCACAGAATTAAAGTGTGTTCTGCTTCAGGTTCGAGCATTGTGGACACTACCTGTTCTCCAAGACCACTTCGCATATGGTGCGTGCAAGGACTTCCTTGAGTACTTGCACACGACGTGGTTTGATGGACCGTTCAAAGACATGTTGAATAAATAAATATGAGAACGTGGATCTTCGAACCAGGAATTTTGCAGATACCACAAGTGAGATGCAGTCAAAGCAAAACTTCTGTAAATGGAAACACAATTTGTTTCTTTTTTCAGCCGGCTCAACGTCACGTGCGGAAACGATCTTTCGGTCATGAGAACGCTGATAGAGGAGAACATCGAGGCCACCATGAAAGGGTGAACTTATGTTATGAGTGCCCTAAAACCTCTTCATCCTTAAATTCGTTCAGATTTGGCGATATCTATCAAGGACGAGGCGTTACGAGAAACGAATTGGAAGATTATTGTAGATATATGTCGAGATATGTGTCAGGAAAAACTATTTAAGCCAAATGTAATAAAATTTTTTTAATAAACTGCTGTTCGAGCCAAGCAAACGAACTCAACTTACCAGGCGACGACGGTGAGTATGCTGCAAGCTGCTCTGAAGTAAGCTTCATCAGAACTTAGACATACTCGTGATAGTACTACTTTCAAGGAGCCTGGCAGCAATGCGAAGGAAACGTGGGGGCGAAAGAATTCGAAAATCAGGTGAAAACGGAATAGTGTTTACAGTTAAGTCACCAGTACGCAATACGGCGTCTTGACAGTGTAAGTCGATCAATTATGAGAATCAATGTGATACGTGGCTTGTGGACGAGTTGTCCGATCCAAGAGAGCGGCTGCAGAAGCTCAGCGGAGATGGCAAATATTGTCAGCAGCGTCCCAGAAACGACTTGACCCAGGGCACAGCATTAGTTGAGGATTTTGGTCGAATCCGTACGAAACCCTTTTTTCGGGGAGTTCGGGACGACCCTCCCCCCCCCCCGAAAAGACAAGCAGTGAAAAAGGGAGTTTCACTGTTTATTTTTTTGAGCTCGTGCTAGGCATACCTATTTACGGTTCTAAGTTGTAAATGTGCAGGTTTATATGGCTTTATTGACGAGACGGGGTGGTCTCGTTGTAGTTGCGGTAGAATACAATATAGTAGAGACGGGGTGGTCTCTAGGTAGTCCGAGACGGGGTGGTCTCGGTGGTGACGTGGTAAAATGCTTACAAACCAAGGGTCATAAATACATTGCTGGGGCCTAAGTCACATCCTCATAATAACCTCACTGTGTCTAGATGACATTCATAATAAGATGAAAGTTCTGGAGGCATTCCAGAACAGTAAAGGCATAGACTGATACCACTCAAAGTTTGGAGGAATACCTGTCAACTTTTGTGAAGCAATGAATACGAGGATGTGAAATAGCGAATGTGCTGATCCTCCCCCCCCCACCCTACAAAGCCTAAGGTCGCATTCATGCTTGACAACTTGGAAGAAAAGACGAAACTGCGGACAGTACAACGTATATGTATCGATTTAAGAAAGAAGCGGAATTGGGAGAAATACAGAAATTCCGAAATGGCGAACAACGTCTTGATACGGATTAATCGCTTGGCCCACCAGTGGGAGAGAATCTCTTCATTAGAAAAAAAAAAAAAAGGACACAGGAACAGCCGCAATCAGCTGGAAAACGGCCGAGGAATCGATTGGAAGGGATTCTGGGCAGGACCAACGCCGCAAGGTGGTTGCAAGGTGGTTGGAATGGGGCGCGTTTTTCCAGGAAAACAACTTGTCTTTGAAGGGCCATAACTTCCTCAAAGGCGGACCTGTGGGAAAGAGGAAAACGCAGTCGTGTAGAAAAAGGTTCGAGCTTCCCGAAAAGTACTGAAATGTTTATGAAGGTCGCCAAATTCAGAGAGAAATTCAGGTTGGGGATCTATTGAGGATGCATGCAAACTGTCCTGGTTTGAACGAAGATATTTTCCTTAAAACTCAACAGTTTGCAAATCTGAAACCAGTGTCGAATACTAGAAGATTTCCTCTTTTCAAAAACTACTTAAGCTGTTTGTGAAGTTTCCGGGATTCATGAGATAATTTGGGGATTTATTAGGGAGCACTCCGAGCTGCTCGAAAAATCCGTTTTCTGTGTACCGTTTCAAGCGAGCGTACTCGGATATCCAGAAATGCATCTGGAATGCATCCCTTCGTGGAATAGGAGCAAGCAGTAGGTGTTTTAGCGCCCATTAGCTTCATTTGTGGATGCGCCATGCCTAGGCTCCCACGCAGAGGTAATGGGATGGTGCAGTTCCACGCAGTGCCTGTCTACACGAGCAGATGTGTTTACAGGATTCAGGGAGTTCCATGGCCAACCTACGCACTTGTTTACAGTGTTGTCCGTTGATGATGGGGCGTGTCCGTGTCCGACGCCGCCAGATCTGTGCTCCGCCAATTGCTGACTCTGATAAAGGAGACCAACAGCTGGAAAACGTCTGATACGAACGGATACGAACGATATGGTAGTCCTGTCGTTTGTCGTAAGAAAAAAGACAGGTTGGCTCAGCGCCAAGCGCGGTCGCGGACACGCCCCATCATCCGCAGCGAACCAGAGTATGAGTTGTACTGTTTAGTCACTTACGAGATGATGTCGACTTATTAATATTTCCAGTTAATTTGGCGGATTAGTTCTATCATATATTTTTGAACCC